TGGGCTCCATTAGGGACTATCTTGGTATCATGAGTGTTTTTCCTCTGCATGCCCAGCAGCATATGGATGGGATCTTTACTGATTTCATGTCAAATTTGGGGACTATAAGCCCCTTGTGTCAGGGCAGGGCCCTGGCGCCTATCATGTAAGCATGGATGTATTCAGATGGTTACATGGTGGGGGATCTTAATTATCTTTACACCCAAACTTCCTCTATTGGCACCCAAATGCTCTGGTCCAGTGACTGCTTTGCCTCTGTNGGTTAAGTACTGGATCAACATTGCTCCATGCATAAATGACAACTTGGCTTGCCATAGTAGATAATTTCTTTTTAATGTTTTCGAGTTATCTTTCTTTGAACACTACTTCAAATTAGACACACCGAAACATATGACGGCTCCTTCCGATGAGAGAAATTTGTTAAAAATTGTTTGTTCTGATTTGTTTTACATACAGTTTTAAGTTGCTATTTTTTGTTTCCATTAGTAGATTGTGTACATGTCAATGACAGTCATCCGTAATGTCAACAGTTTTCTGCCGATATGAGTACGATATCGTGGATGTTTCTTACAAGTGCGCGGAANAATAGAGATGATAAATACAGGTACCTTATGCAATGAGGCTGTATTATAGAGGATACCCTTACTAAATAAATAAGGACTTTTTATGTACCCTGTATACCACTCTCTATATACCATTCTTTATATACTCTGTAAACCACTTCTTATTTACCCTGTTTACTAGTTTGTATAATCTGTATACAAATCATTATATAACCTTCTCAATATTTCTTTATAAAGATATCTTTGTTGTGTTTTATAATAAACAAGGGGCACTGAGTTAGGACAAGTCTTTCTAACAAAAGTGTATCCAAGTTTTGATGCTCGGCATAACACATGTAGTTACTACTACTGACAGGTATTACACATGTATATATTATCACAGATAGGTATTACACATGTAGTTACTACTTCAGACAGGTATTACTCATGCATATATTATCATAGATAGGTATTACACATGTATATATTATCACAGATAGGTATTACACATGTAATTACTACTACAGACAGGTATTACACATGTATATATTATCACAGATAGGTATTACACATGTAATTACTACTACAGACAGGTATTACACATGTATATATTATCACAGATAGGTATTACACATGTAATTACAACTACAGACAGGTACTACACATGCATATACTATCACAGATAGGTATTACACATAAATACTACTACAGACAGGTATTAAACATGTACTACTACATACATGTATTACACATGAATATACTATCACAGACAGGTATTGCACATGTATTTACTACCACAGACAGATCATACACATGCATTTACTATCACAGACAGGTATTACACATGTATATACTATCACAGACAGGTAATACACATGTAATTACTACTATAGACAGTTATTACACATGCATATATTATCACAGACAGGTATTACACATGTATATACTATCACAGACAGGTATTACACATGTAATTACTACTACAGACATGCTGTAAGTGTTACCATGTATCTGGCTTGTGTGAAATGCCTTTTAGGTCACAAAATACAATTGTATCTCTACAAAATATATCTTATAAGTGATCAATATCTCAAAGACTTTAAAGAACATGCACCTGATGATGAAATATCACTTATCTGTATACATATGTATCAAATAATGAAATATTACTTCTTGTCTGTAATAGTATAAGTAAATACAAGTTTATAACCAGTTTGAAACAATGAATTAATGTTCCTTACATTACAGTATATTGATAGAACATAGAATTACAAATACATAAGTATGTTCTTTAATGTCTGTGATAGTTAAAACAATTTTATCTGAAACAATATAATTAAAGATACATAGCCTGTCTGTGATAATAAATACAGGTGTATGACCAGTCTGAAACAGTAAATAAAAAAAAATGTCCCCATGTCTATCTATATGTTATACTCCACAGAGACCAAAATGGCTTTAATGCGGTCTGTGATAAGCAGCCGAAACAATTAATAAATGTTCCTAATATGTTTAATGTCAATTACCTGTCTGTGAATTTGTACGGGTAATATTACAATTTTATCAAATTTCTTTAAAAACATTTAGAGGAAATCCGTGAAGAAAATCAAGATAAAACATTTTAATGAATAAATTGTAAGTAATACATGCAGTAGGATCGTTTTCCTTCAGTTATGAAATACATAGGAACATCCATTTCTCCACCACTTACCCCCCATCTACTTTATAAAGCTTAACCTTTTAAAATAATGTTAATACCGCTATAACCAGACCTATTTGGTGGCATTAAACTCCTACTTTCACTTTCACATACTTCATTTCCGGTTAAGAGATACGTACGAAACTAAGGCTTTCGATTTAATGCTTTACCGAGCGCTGTGGAGGAGGGTTTATTATCTCAAATTCAAATCTCGTTCTTTATAAGATATCTTATAACCGAATTATATAAGATATCTCATTTAATTTTGTTTATAAGATATCTTATATATTATATAAGATATCTTCTAAAAGATATAAGATATCTCATTTAATTTTCTTTATAAGATATCTTATATCTTTTATGAGATATCTTATATAATATATAAGATATCTTATATCTTTTATGAGATATCTTATAAAGAAAGGTATATAAGATATCTTATAAAATATATAAGATATCTCATTTATTATATAAGATATCTTATAAAGTATATAAGATATCTCATAAAGTGTATAAGATATCTTATATAATTAAATAAGATATCTTATATAATTTGGTTAAGTACTGGATCAACATTGCTCCATGCATAAATGACAACTTAGCTTGCCATAGTAGATAATTTCTTTTTACTGTTTTCGAGTTATCTTTCTTTTAACACTACATCAAATTAGACACACCGAAACATATGACGGCTCCTTCCGATGAGAGAAATTTGTTAAAAATTGTTTGTTCTGATTTGTTTTACATACAGTTTTAAGTTGCTATTTTTTGTTTCCATTAGTAGATTGTGTACATGTCAATGACAGTCATCCGTAATGTCAACAGTTTTCTGCCGATATGAGTACGATATCGTGGATGTTTCTTACAAGTGCGCGGAAACCGGTAACACGAGGAGTAAAATTGTAAAATAAGTTGGTTACACCATTGCTAGATCAAAGGGAAAGTGACACGTCTATGCGACAATTCATAATACAGTATATACTATAGATAGGGTGGGGGCGTTTTTACTAGGGCTGTTACGGAGTGGGCCGTTTTGACCGTCGGTCCCGTTCGGTCCGTTTCGGTTAATCATTGCACCGTATCGGATATTCCGGATATCCGTCCGTTTATTAGTATATAATGAAAATAAAAGAAAATCGGGGAAGACAATACAGATCTACACATTTTAATGACTAAACGGTAAGTTATAATGTTACATGCAGGAATTATTTTCCTTCCGTTGTGAAGTACATACTAATAACCCTTTCTCCTTCACTTACTTCTATATACCTCCTTTTTTTTTTAAATAATGTAAATCCCACTACAACTAAATCATATATTTGTTGACACTGAACTTCTACTTTCACTTTCACATACTTCATTTCCGGTTAAAAAATACGCAACTCTGCGGCTACCGATTAACTCCTATACCATGCACAGCTCTCAATTTAATTTTGCCAATTTCAAGAGAGACAATTTTGAATGGAAAGTCTTAACAACTTTATAAGTATGTATGTTTGACCAGAGACGTATATATGTCTTTATATGTCTCTGGGTTGGCCCACTACGTTGATCACTGTTCCTATCAAAGGATCGTAACACACGATTGAATATCCGGAATCTCCGGTTCCCCGTCAGATGTTTACATACAGGCAAGACTTTTCCGGCGTCGAAACCGATCGTTTTGTCGAATTTACCCAAAGGTACCCTATTGGTATATTTCATATTATCGACATCATTTAAATGTTGAAAACATGCACCGTGCCCACAGCCATAGTATCGTCTGTCAATACAACCAGATACGTATAATACATGTTTTACACGTCTCTGATACAACGCGCCAAAACACTGTGTTACGTACGATCGGTGACCCAATGAGTGTCAATGAGGAAGGGATGTCCAGGGAGTGGCAAGGTAAAGATGTTTGAAATTCTGACTGTTTTTTTGTTATATTAATGCCCTTTTTAATAAGAGCGTAGCTCTTCGGCGCCCGAGCGAAGCTCTTTAATGGTAACACATGCGTGCTTATGCAGAGTTGCTTCCCCTTGTTACATATTGTTTCAAACCCCCAAGAGGAGCAAAGCGCCGCAGGGGTTTGATCTGTAAGCGCTGAAAACTTCCTGGGAAATTAAGGCTGCATTCTGTCTTCAAAACAATCATAGTAAATTAAACCCTGCAGTATCAGTATTTGTTTTTTTGAAACTTAGTAGGCTAAATAATCATATATGTTGTTGTGTTTCATGGAAAAGAATTTTGATTGGACAATTTTTACAAAGGTTTTTGCCCTTTTTAGCTCACCTGGTCCAAAAGGCCAAGTGAGCTAATCCCATGCCGCAGCGTCGGTCGTCCGTCAACTTTTTCCTTAAAACGCTACTAGTCCTGAATGGCTCTTTTTTGGTCTGGAGCATCATTGCATGACCAAAGGGTTCTCAGTTTTGTATAAACGCGGGGTATGTTCCCCCTGGGGGCAGAGGGGCGGGGCCAAAATAGGGGGAAAATAGGTAAATCTTTCAAAATCTTCTTCTTCTCAACCAATTAAAGCATTTGGACCCAATTTGTCCTAAAGCATCTTTGGACAAAGGAGACTCAAGTTTGTATAATAGGAGGGTGTGGCCCCTCTGGGGTCACAGGGGCAGGGCCGAATAAGGGAAATAGAGGAATTTTTTTTCTCCTGCTATTCAAGTGAAGGGATTTAAAGCAAATGCAGTCTGAAGCATGCTTAGGGACAAAAGAATCAATTTTGTTTAAAATGAGGAGTGTGGAAACTCATTTTCTTGGTGTCTTTCCCACCAAAACAGATTTATATGTAGTTCCTCTTGCAACTTTGTTTCTTGTACTCCTTTGATAAAAGAAACCTGGATGGTACTCAAAAGGTTTTAAATTGAAAAATAAAATACCAGGTGAGCTATTAATTAAGGCCCCTTGGCCTCTTGTTTTATTTCAGTATTTGATTTTTGTGGGGCAATCTCCTCCTATTTTTTTTTAACAGATCTCTTTGAAACTTGGTAGACATTATAACAGGGACAGTATATATATACTCCATTATAAGTCTCTGATTATAATCATGATCTGTAGTTGTGTCTCCATTTAAAGAATTTTGATTCAACAATTTTTCCAAAAGTTATTACCCTTTGTTCATTTCGTATATTGTTCCGCCCCGCATTACTCATGTTTGGTTTGGTTATAATTAGTTATCCAAGAAGGCCACCATTTTAACATCTATTTTGACATCAAGGAATTTCAAAGAAGCTTTATAGGATTGTCCTGACGAACAGTGTTGTTACTTTTTTGGTTGGTCAGATAGCCACAATGTCCACCATTTTGAAAATCTATATGGTTCTCTAATTCTAGTTCTTCGGAAAGGATTGCAAAGAAAATTCATAGCAGTGTTCAGTACATTGTCCTTTTGGGTCAGACATGTATCAAAGATGGCTGCCATTTTGAAAATCAATTAAACTCCAGTTCTGCTGAAGGAATTTCAATGTTATTGCATAAATGTGTTAAGTATTTTCTCCAGACAAACTTCTGTTTTTGTAGCCTTGTTTATCAGTTACCCAAAATTTCCACTACGGCTACCATTTTAAGAACATATTTGTAACTTACAACTCTAGTGGGTTTTGTTTGATATGACAGAAACAATTGTTTCTTTTTGTTTAAATGATTATTTCCACTTTATACATATGTGACCAAATTACAACTCTGGTGACTGTATTAGTCAATCTGTTACTGTTATATGAGATCATCTGCAGCTGGTATTAAAGCAGCGATTTTTGTATGAAAGCATTTCCCACTTTACAATTTAAAAGTTTCAAAGTTTGTACATTGATTATGAAGACTCAAAAGTCTGTTTTCTTTCTGTTTCATGTAGAAATCAAGTGTGAATTTGGCAAACCAAAGTGAATCTTTTACCTGGGAAACCTAGCATCAAGACCACCACTTGATATCATCAGCCTTGCTATGGAGATATGAGGATCACAGGAACAGATTAGATGCACTGATCATAAAATGTGAACTTAATTTAATAAACAGATCCAACTTATCTTCAGTTATGTCACATATGAAAAATCAATTAGAAGAAAACAAAAAGAGACAATCAAGGAAATACATGAACTGGATTTGATAAGGCGTTATGACAAATAAATAGGATAATATAAGCAAAGACATTAAGAAATATACAGGAGAGACATCACAAAGTGTTTTATTTGTGATTAGGATTTTCAGACTTTTCATCCAAAGAAACAAATTAAGAATCACACTGGTGAATCATTATACAAGAATAATGTATGTTACAAGTTCAGGTCTGGTTTTAGTAAACAAGATGCCTGACATCTCATTTCCAGATACAAAATGTATCGGAGACGAGCCATACAGTTGTGATGAGAGTGATAAAGGCGTCGTAAAGGCAAATGTAATAAATACAAAATGTATCGGAGACGAGCCATACAATTGTGATGAGAGTGATAAAGGCGTCGTAAAGGAAAATGTAATAGATACAAAATGTATCGGAGACGAGCCATACAATTGTGATGAGAGGGATAAAGGCATTGTAAAGGAAAATGTAATAGATACAAAATGTATCGGAGACGAGCCATACAATTGTGATGAGAGTGATAAAGACATTGTAAAGGAAAATGCAAATGCACTTATTAAGAAAGATAGTATTTCATCTACAGGAATCACGTGTGATGTATGTGGGAAAAGATTTTCTCGAAAGAGTAATTTAAAGAAACACCTCTGGATACATACAGGAGAGTGGCCCTTCAAGTGTGATGTCTGTGGGACAGGATATCCTGCATTAGGAAAACTACAAAGGCATATCAGGACACATACTGGCGAGAAGCCGTACATGTGTGATGTCTGTGGGGCAAAATTTTCATTTATAGATAACCTACAAAAGCACCTCATGATACACACTGGAGAGAAACCATGCAAGTGTGAACTCTGTGGTAGGGGATTTCGTGTGCACAGTGAATTAAAGTGTCACCTCATGACACATACAGGAGAAAAGCCTTATAGGTGTGATGTCTGTGGAAAGAGATTTACCAAGAAAAAATCCCTAAATGTACACATCAGGATACATACAGGAGACAAACCATACATGTGTGATGTCTGCGGTAAGGGGTTTATTGAGAAGAGAACCCTAAAAAGACACCTCGGGGCAATACATATGGAGGAGATGAATTGCAAATGTGATATCTGCTTTAAAGAGTTCAGTTGCCCTAATTACCTACGGAGACATTCCAAGATACATTCAGTAGAAAAGCCTCATATATGTGATGTATGTGGTAAAGGGTTTAGGGTGAACAGTGTCTTACAGGCTCACCTTAAGACACATACTGGAAAGAAGACACACATATGTTCTGTTTGTGGAAAGAGGTATGCAACTTCAAATAGCTTACATAAACACTCCAGGATACATACCGGAGAGAAGCCATACACGTGTGATGTCTGTGGTAAGGCATATGGAGAAATAAATTGCCTAAAAAGTCACAAACTGACACATCACACAACAGAGATGCCATACAAGTGTGATGTCTGTGGAAAGAGATTTAAACGTCTACAAGGGTTCAAGGCGCATCTCAAAACTCACACAAGACAGAAGCCATACAAGTGTGATATCTGTGGTACAGGATTAAGTGCGGCTTATTATCTTAAGTTACATCGCAAGAAACATAATGTACAGTGAATCGAAGGCTGCGAAAGGTTTCAACTAATGCAGAAATGATGAGCAGGCGACGTGAAAAGGAGAGAAAATGAGTTGATCGATCGATGATACTTTCGACAATTAACAACCTGATGCAATTCGTTTTAGACTAGATTCTTGTTTGATATTAATTGTACAATGTACATACGAATAGTGTCAAAAGTCAATTTTAAATGCATATATTTAATTTAAATGGCATGATCTTATTTATGGTATGGGGATGTCCGTCCGTCCGGCGTTTACTTCTTTTACCATTTGATGACCTACTTCATCATAGTGAAGATCATGTCATATATAGGTGTACATGTAGCACTATGAAAGTAAAGGAACAGAACTTAATATTGATGAGCAGAGATAGATGATTTGAAGGATAGTATTGAATAATTTGAAAAGGGAGTTTGTTCCAATCTTTGATAGTCCGAGGAAAGAATGATTCATTCCTTATAGACATCCTGCATGAGATAGTTTGAAATAAGGTTTGATGACTATGCTTTGTTTGTCTGGTTATAGGGGTGATATATTTAGTGGTAATGGCAACTTTATTATGGTGGATTTTATAGAGCATGGTCAGCCTCGCCTCTCTACTGTGATCTGCAAGACTACGCGTTTTTAGGTGTTCTAACATGTTGCCAACGCTGGAGGTGTTACGATGGCGGTTGGCAACAAAACGAGCAGTCCTGTGCTGTACCATCTCTAGCTTGTCTATATCTTTTTAAACTTTTGTTTGTCTGGCAATCTCCTCCTACATTTTTCGACCGATCTTTTTGAAACTTGGTATACATTATAATCATGATATGAAATTGTGTCTCACTTAAAAGAATTTTGATTCACCATTTTTTTCTAAAGTTATTACCATTTGTTCATTTCAGTATTTGATTTTTTGTCCGGATATCTTCTCCTACATTTTTTGACGGATATCTTTGAAAGCTAGTAGGCTAAATAATCATGATATGTTGTGTTTCCTTGAAAAAAAAATTGATTCACAAATTTTTGCAAATGTTATTGCCCTTTGTTTATTTCAGTATTTGATTTTTGTCAAGCAATCTCCTTCTACATTTTTCAATGGATCTCTTTGAAACTTGGTATACATTATATTCATGATATGAAGTTGTATCTCCCTTAAAGAATTTTAATTCAACAATTTTTGCAAAAGTTATTGCCCTAATTTGTTCATTTCAGTATTTGAATATTTAGCTCACCTGCCCGAAGGGCTATTGAGCTTATTCAATGGTGCGTCGTCCGTCGTCGTCCATCAACTTTTTCTTTTAACGACTTCTTCTGAAGATTGGACAGGCCTAGAGTCATGATATTTAGGTGATAGCCTCGTTGGTAGGAGCATGACAAAGTTTAAGAATAAAAATGACCTTGACCTACTTTCAAGGCCACAGGGGTCAAATAAGTCAAAAACTTCAAACCACTTCTTCTGAAGAACTAAAAGGTATAGAATCTTTACATTTGGCTATTGGCTTCCTGGGATGGAGCCCGACAAAGTTTAAGAATGAAAATGACCTTGACCTACTTTCAAGTTCACAGCTGTCAATTATGTCAAACTCTTCAAACGACTTCTTCTGAAGAACTAAAAGGTATAGAATCTTCATATTTGGCTGGTGGCTTCATGGGAAGGAGCCCGACAAAGTTTGATAATGAAAATGACCTTGACCTCCTTTCAAGGTCACAGCGGTCAAATATGTCAAAAACATCAAACGGCTTCTGAATAATCGAAGGCATAAAATTATAATATTTGTCTGGTGGCTTCCAGCTGGGATAGAGCTTACCAAAGTTTGCGAATGAAATTGACCTCAACCTACCTTAAAAGACAGAGGTCACAGCCTTTTAAAGGATTTGTTCTTCAGAAACAAAAGGAATGGATTCATTAAATTTCGCTGGTAGCTTGTTGGGATAGAAAAAAAAGTGCAATAACTGCAACAAATGTTCACCTATTTTCTTGAAACCTAGTAACAGGGTTAAATGCATTAAGGGCTCTACCAAGTTAGATGACCACTTTCAGCGGACTTTATTTGGCGGAGTAATGGCCATTTGATTGACAAAAAACGTCATTATCTGCAGTTTTCGCTCATTAACTGAAGCAAATATAAGCCAAATAATACCTGCATGTTCAATAAAAAGTCTAACTTCTGTATATGGTTTTTATTAGTTCATCTGCCAGAAGGGCAAGTGAGCTTATGTCGTGGTGCAGTGTCCATCGTCCGTCCGTCGTCTGTCAGTCCTCGTCCGTCAACTTTTCCTTTAAAAATCTTCTTCTGAAAAACGGATAGGCCTAGAGTCATGATATTTGGCTGAAAGCTTTGTTGGAAGGAGCTCTACAAAGTTTGAGAACGAAATGACCTGACCTACTTTCAAGGTCACAGGGGTCAAATATGTCAAAAACTTCAAACGACTTATTCTGAAGAACTAAAAGGTATCGAATCTTCATATTTGGCTGATGGCTTCCTGGGATGGAGCTTAACAAAGTTTGAGAATGAAAATGACTTTGACCTACTTTCAAGGTCACAGGGGTCAAATGTGTCAAACACTTCAAACAACTTCTTCTGAAGAACTGAAAAGTATAGAATCTTTATATTTGGCTGGTGGCTTCCTGGGATAGAGCCCAACAAAGTTTGCGGATGAAAATTAGTTTGACCTACTTTCAAGGTCACAGGGGTCAAATATGTCAAAAACTTCAAACGACTTCTCCTGAAGAACTAAAAGGTATTGAATCTTTATATTTGGCTGATTGGTTCCTGGGATGGAGCCCAACAAAGTTTGAGAATGAAATTACCTTGACCTTCTTTCAAGGTCACAGGAGTCAAATGTGTAAAAAGCTTCAAATGACTTCTTCTGAAGAACTGAAGGCTATAGAATCTTTATATTTGGCTGGTGGTTTCCTGGGATGGAGCTTAACAAAGTTTGAGAATGCAAATGACTTTGACCTACTTTCAAGGTCACAGGGGTCAAATATGTCAAAAACTTCAAACGGCTTCTTCTGAAGAACTAAAAGGTATAGATTCTTCATATTTAGCTGATTGGTTCCTGGGATGGAGCCCAACAAAGTTTGAAAATGAAAATTACCTTGTTCTACTTTCAAGGTCACAGGGGTCAAATGTGTCAGACACTTTAAACGACTTCTTCTGAACAACTGAAAGGTATAGAATCTTTATATTTGGCTTTTAGCTTCCTAGGAAATTTATAAAACCTTAATATTTGGCTGGTTATTTCCTGGGAAAGAGCCCTACAAAGTCTTCGAATGAAAGTGACCTTGACCTACTTATAAGGTCACAGAGGTCAACAACATTTTAATGGATTTGTTCTTAAGAACTAAAAGGAATGGATTTATAAGATTTGGCTGGTAGCTTTTGGAATAGAGCTTACCAATTTGAGAAGGAAAATGACATTGACCTACTTACAAGGTCACAGGGAAAAATATGTCAAGCAACTTCTGAAGAATCAAAAAGCATAGAATCTTGTAATAATATTTTGCTGGTGGTTTTAACAGATGGAGCCAACAAAGTTTGCAAGGGAAATATCTTTATTGCAATATGATATTTAATGAGAATATTTTGCTATGACTGCTTAAATATTCAGGTGAGCGATACAGGCCCTCTTGGGCCTTTTATTTTCTTCGAGATTCAATTTATACATTATGTCTCAACAGCACGATACTCACATGTTTAAACCTTGGACTACCCTCAATAATGTTTACCTACAATATATCCTAGCGGGAGATATGAATTCCACGAATTTGCTTGTTTGCTGGCTAACCCCAGTATAATGATATGTAAAAACAATTATAAAAATGGGTGCGTACACATGAAAAGCTAGCTTTACAGGAGGTAAAATTTTGACAACAGCACACAACGCAAAATTGCAAAAAAATCAAGTTTTACAACTTTACTGGGACCCAGATAATTCTGCAACCAGGTAGGTAATCTTTAATTTCAGACAGAGCTTAGGAAAAAAAATACTTGTTGCTGGGGTCAAATTTTGGGTTGAAAATAGCAATTTTTGGCATTTTTTGGTAATTTTTGATGTGGTAACCATGGTTTTCACACAAGTGACATACATAGAAAAAAGAGGTTTATACACTTCTCAGTACTTTATATGTATTGTAAACGAATGCAGTTTACAAATATATATACATGTATACATGTGTAGGGTAAATCCGCTGTGTTTACATTTCATCGACATGTGCCTTGTTTATCAGAGTCGGGCCATTTCTACTGTATTCTGCTAACCTAGGATTTTGTCTCATAAAAAAACAAAGTAGACCAGAACAGACTAAATCTCGTAAATTAAGCATTAAAAAAAAATTAAGTACCATTTAAAAAATGAAAGAGAGAAAAAAGGGTTCGAGATTTCGAAAATGTTGCTGTCAGCTGTATATGAATTTTCATATATGGTTTCTCATAAACCTTCAGGCAAAATAACACCGTTCTAGGATTAAAAAATGGCACTTGCAATAAAGCTTCACATTGAGAAAACATTGCATTTTTAATTACACTTTTTTGCAAAATCAAAGTAGAGTTAAATCACAAAGAGGTCAAACAATGGCATTATATCAACTCTGATGAATATTGTATGTTTATTATTGACAGAACAGTGTGTTCTCTCAATATTAAAGTATTTCAAAGCAATCCAGTCGTTAATTCTGTTGTCTTTTATCAATGAGTCGCATGTGTCCATTTTTCTGTACTCCAGGAACCCGGCTACCTATTTCACTATATATATATATATATATATTGTTGCTTGAATATTCAATTTACTCTCAAAAACTACATTCCAAGCACTTAATCTGTTGGATATATAATATATATGATTTTTTTTTTTTAATAAAAGTAATTGTTTTTTCGGACTTAAACGTGTTGTGTGTTTTGTTCAATTGCTTTCGCCCATCATCACTAGATTTTGAGCTGTTCAAATCGCCCGTCGTTCGTGGCATATCGCGCGATCGTCCGTCCTCTCCGACAGTACTTGACCATAATCTGTCTCAAATTTTACATTTAGAAACATGTACCCTAAGGTCCTTAGTTGTGCATACTGAATCTGGGGACAAAGCAGAAAAAATACGATATTTTGGATATTGACAGTAGAATGAAATTTCGTTATTGTTATGTTTTGAAAAATTGTCGACAGATCTGTTTTTTGCGACAAGACAGTTGTTATAAAGAGATATTCTAAGTGATCTGAAACATCAATGTTGAATTGATAAAAAAAATGAATATAATGTTTAGATATGTAGTTTAGACAAAAATATTTGAGTAAAATGTTTGTTTCTCTCTATTGATCTTAAATGTTTCTACACACTGATGATAATATCTCTTTCTTTTTGAAGATGAGGGTCATGTATACATCTGTACAAGCTGTATACATTATTGTTTCGCCACTCTGTGATGGCATTGCCAAACTTCAGACAGTTGATGACTTGATAAAATAATGTTTAACCAATATCGTAGAGATTGATAACACAAAATGGATATGTGTACCATCTTGTTAAATTGAAACAATTTTAAATAAAAAATATTCCTCATGAGATCACCAATCGAATTCGTCTCGAAAAGATATCTCCGAGAATTCCATCAATGAAGTTGCGACAAATAATCGGAGAATTACAAGCAATGAATATTATGCTACATTTTTCCTTATATGAAATACATTATATTGTAAACTACAAGTCCACGTACCTGCATAACTCTCAGTACTACTTCGATACCTTTAATAGTGGTTTCGTAAGTATTTATCTTTGTAGCACATTATTTTTCGGATTAAGTATCTGATTAATGGTGGCACTTGGGTTGTTCCTTTTCTCATTTCCATTGTTTCTTAATCTTTCTCTAATAAATTTTACCTTTTTTGAGGTAACATAAGTACAATGTGTTAGAAATGCATTTGCGCTCACTACTGTTACTGGGTTAAACTAATCGATCTAACCTGTGTTTAATCTAACTTGGTTACAAATTGATAACATTTCAACACGTTAATATGTAATTGGGCTAACAGTGAAATGATATTTATTTCTAGAGTATTTTAAACATAGATATTACATTGCATTCATTTCTAATATGAAGCTAAACAACACATAATAGACAACTTATTATATGATTTGTACTATAAATTAATGATTAGTGCATTAAAAATACACTAGTAGGGGTTCCATAACAATAAATAACGGACCACACTCAAACTAAAGCATTTTTCTTTGTAACTAGAAATCACAGTATTCATTATATCGACGGCCATTGCATTCACGTAACTATTGGTGATCAGGCTCAAAATAACATGTAATATATATAACCTTAAATTTAACATGTTCTAGATATGAACTTTTCTGCTCCAAACCAGTTATTATGTCCCCTTAATCTGGCTCAATCGCACCGATTCAACACCTGTTTACATGCATGTGTGCAGTCATATATGTGTGCAATCGGGCAGAACATGTTCGACTGCCGACGGTGACCTATATAAATAGAAGTCGCTGTTGACAGACATACGTGAAAACCCCCTTCACAGATTTGTAAGTACGTGTGTTTGTTAAACTGCTATTGTTTTGTTTGTAAGATAAGATTGTTAATCAGTAAATGACGGAATCACCCTGCCTAGAATCAAGGTATTCGTACATGTAGATTCATCCATACTCTCAGTCATTGTCAGGTAGCCCAAGTTATTCACCTGGCAATCAAGTTGATTCTTGCTGTGCTGACAATCTATCGATCAATGTGGTTCTTGCTGTGTTGACTATTGATCAGGGTGGGTCGGGTTGTCTATCAAAGTTTAAAATGAAAACTGCACAGCAATAAAGCAAACCCAACAAACACTCTTACTTTTTCTCCAGAAATAGACATCAAACACACACACACCCCTCTACTCCCTCATTTTTTATTGTTCATTTCCACTCCCGTTTTAACTATTATGCGAACACATGTTGATAACTAACGTGTGCTTTCCTAAGGAAATAAAACAAAAACGGAACATTACCCTTATATACACAATAGAGCAGGACAAAAATAGATTGAGGCAGAATATCGAGATTTTCTGAAATTCATAATTCATGACACCTTAGCTTAAAATCGTCAAAGTTGGTCTTAGCATAATATGTATATTTAGAAGATAACGTTTAGAGTCGGCAGTACGTATAATCCTGCTAGGATTTTGTATCAGCTGTGTTCTTTTGGTATCGAAACATTATATCATATATATAGTCATCACGGTGTGAGCAAACGACCGGAGGGAATCCCAAAATGGTTTTAATCCTTTAAAGCCGAAATATAAACCATATTGATTAAGTGATGTAGCATGTATAAATGAAAAGATAATTCACTGCATAATATTTCACATCTTTAAAACCTGTCTTAGCGTGCACGTGAAATTCCAATACTGCATACAGGTTTTACCAAAACATTCTGATTGACGTAATCAATTCCATAACTTAATAATAATAATAAATGAAAATAATATCTTAAAGTATCATCATTGTTTGATTTGACTAACATCGGTAATTTGAAGAAGAAAAAACGTAAACATGGACCCCGTTTAGCGTCGTCATTTAAAAATCGAGCTGTGATCAGCCATAAGTTAAAATAGACAAAAAGTCCTAAATTGTAATATTACCCGTAAAAATTCACAGACAGGAAATTGACATTTATTAATTGTTTTCAGACTGGTTATAAACTTGTATTAACTATAACAAACATATTAGGAACATTTATTATTGGTTCGGGTGCTTATCACAGACCGCATTAAAGTCATTTTGGTCTCTGTGGAATATAACATATAGATAGACATAGGAACATATTTTTTTATTTACTGTTTCAGACTGGTCATACACCCGTATTTATTATCACAGACAGGCTATGTATCTTTAATTATATTGTTTCAGATAAAATTGTTTTAACTATCACAGATATTAAAGAACATACTTATGTATTTGTAATTCTATGTTCTATCAATATACTGTAATGTAAGGAACATTAATTCATTGTTTCAAACTGGTTATAAACTTGTATTTACTTATACTTTTACAGACAAGAAGTAATATTTCATTATTTGATACATATGTATACAGATTAGTGATGTTTCATCATCAGGTGCATGTTCTTTAAAGTCTTTGAGATATTTATCACTAGATATATTTTGTAGAGATACAATTGTATTTTGTGACCTAAAAGGCATTTCACACAAGCCAGATACATGGTAACACTTACAGCATGCACTTTATTACCATTCAAATACAAGATATCATGTTAAAACAGATATTTATATAATGAGAAAATAAATAAATAAAACTATTTTCCATTCAACCGCCTCCCCCCCCCCAACAATAGCAATATAAGAACCTCTCCGTAGTAAGTAATTGCATGTGTTATATCAGCTGTCTGTGATAGTAAATAAATGTGTAATACATGTCTGTGATAGTAAATACATTGTACATATGTAATACCTGTCTGTAGTAGTAATAACATGTGTAATACCTGTCTCCCTAATGGAGCCCACCCCATCCCTGAGGACTTACTCCTTCAGTAATAACATGGAAATTGTTGAGATCACCAAGCTAATATTTCCTGTATGGTAAGAGGTAATCAACAACTTTTAATGAAAAATATTATTCCAGGTGAGCTATTAATAATGTGCCTGTGCTTCTTGTTCTTGAGATGCCACAATAAGGGAACATAATTGGGAAACTCCAGCACAAGCAAACATGTTATATTTCCTGTGCATGCAGTCAATATGAACCAATCAGACAACTATTATATAGATGAGGTACCTTACCTACAGAGAATATGGACCTTACATATACCTCATGTATATGTGCATGCATACAAGATGTACTTGATGTATAGGTGTAATCTGATGTATAGAAGGTATATATAT